CTTATTATCTGTGGGAGAGTCTATTAACAATAGAATAGGTGTGTTCTGGTATAACACAAACGAAAACATTAACCTGAACACTGGAGCCATGTTCTTAATTACCCTCTTCAAACCTAGACTTTTGTATTAATGTCATGGATGGCACCAAACTTATTCAGAAATAATTAAACTATCAGCTGTAAAAAAACAACATGTTTTCAGATCACTGGTTAAAAATGGGTTTGAGGGAATGAAAAAGGTGGAGAGCCATGATTGACCATGGCCTAGCGGGAGATGACACGAAAGCAAGAATTGTGCTTAGGGGCCTAAACAATTTTTTAGCACTTTTCCATACAAAACTGGTATGCATTGTCCTGTCCAGTTGTCGGCAACATGCTTATTACAAGATTTGTTTAATGAACTGGTGTTGTTATGTAATTGCAAATATTGCTAAAACTAAGCATTGGCAATTTGTTTCATGCTTGAAAGTAATAATTTAGCTGTATACATATATACATATATACATACATATATTTACTGTTGCCTCACTGGTATTCCTGACAAAACTAACCTGTCTTGTCTCGAAAAGGACCTCTATTCTATTGGTGACTGTTGTAGTGGTGACTGTTGTAGTAAATGGCTGGTAAACTTCCATGCCTCAGAAACAAAAGAGTTCTCATTTACCCACCACAGAGAACCCTCCCTAACTTCCATAAGAATATCTGATGCTTAACTTCATGTAAGCGCCTCTCTGTGCCTGCTTGGTCACACGCTGTTCGCAGATGGAACAAATATATTGAATCAATAGCTTCATCTACCGCAAGGAAAGTTGATTCTCTGTGTCACGCTAGAAAGGTTTTTCTCCCCTGAGTTCATTCTTCAAAGCTATAAATCAACCATTCGCCATTGCATGGAAAACTGCTGTCATATATGTTTTGTAGCCCCCGCTGTTTATCTCAAGGTTCTGGATAAAATCCAGAGACGGATATAGAATATAATTGGTCCTGGTCTAGCATCTCGTCTACAGTGACTATCTCACAAACGTGTCGTGGCTTCCTTTTGACTTTTCTAAAAGTACTTTCACGGGAACTGCTCCGACTAGTTATTTTCACTGGTTCCCAAACTGCACGAATTTAAGCGTGTTACTGAGTTGGCATCTCAGTCCCACCGTTTCACTATCGAAACGGTTAAATGTAGCCGTCTCTTCTACTCCATTTGTTTCATGTATCGCACTTTTGATGCTATTCTATGGCATCAGCAATTCACATAGTATTGATACACCTTGGAATTGTAGAAATGGTGAACTCTGTCCAGTAGAAGGAAAATGCAGAGTCCCTAATATAATTTACCAAGCAACCATTTATCCTAATTAGAACAAAAGCAACCACAATAATCATATTAGAATTTCCATGGGCGAATGGAAACAACGTCAGTGTAACCATCAACAGTAATTTTCTAATCCAAAATTTATATTCTAAACTGCACTTTTGGGAAATGAGGAAGAAAGAATTGAATTCTCAGATTAACTGGGAAACTATTGGGTCTTCCCGTACTTCTAGTAGTTTTAAAGGTAGATGCAATCTATGCCTACAAGAAAAAATAGAATTATTAAATTTAGAGATGCAATGATTCTGTTAAACCAAAGGCATTTTCTAAATGACGTCACCACAGTAGATTTAAAGATATCTAGACCCTTAAAGAGAATGCATGAATTGTGATCCTTTAGAAATTGCCTGTGAATTCCTGGTCCTCTTCAGAACTGACCAAACTTGAGTGAACTTTCATCCTTTAACAAGTACATGAGCTGCTGTCTTCGACAATTACATTGTATATTCTTCTTCTCCTCCTTTCTTTTTATATCTTTCCCAAATTTCTGTTACAGTTTACAAAAATATCTTTTCTCTATCACTAAATTACTATTAATTCTTGGTGACTATCAATAATATATTTAATATTACCCTTATTGACACTTTTCCCTTTTTCTTACGTTAAGGTATCTTTATTGAATTATCCTGAATTATACTTTACATATAAGTATTATACTTTGACTACAATATTATATATTAATAATAATTACTTTACTATAACATTTCAGTTAATTTGTCATTATGTAATAATTCAAATGTATTATATGTTTTTCTAGGCTCTATTTCATATATTGGTTTATATTTTTATTATAATGTTTTTATAGTTATTCTCAATTAATTCGATGTCTAATTTTAAGTATTTAATCAATTTTTAATATTATGCAGTTTTTAAAATTTTATATATGGCGAATATGTTGATATATAATATTAATATGTAGTATTGAAGTGTTTTGTATTAATATATATTGTATTATGAGATTTGATGAAGTGACATTTGAATATATATCTTAGTATAAATTTTAGGGGGTTTATATATTTTGGGGGCATTTTTGCTTGTCTATTAAACATTTAAATTTCAGTTAAGTTTTTTTGTAACATTTTATATTTATTTAAAACATTTTTATACTATTATTTAAATAATTAATATATTTATATATGATTTTTTAAATAGTTATATTTTAATTCCCTAATTCTGAGGCATTTTTCATTCATTTTTTTAAAATTTAGTTGATAGTTGATAATTAAGTTGATAATTATCATTTACATAATTGTATCATAATTTCGGTTGTAAGAAATATATTGCTCAGTTTATTATAAAAACCTTGATCTCTCTCTCTTTATATATATATATATATATATATATATATATATATATATATATATATTACTTTATTGTTTAGACGTATTTTTATAGATGTCCATATTTGAGTAGATGTTCAGCTTTTATTTCTTTATTAAACAGTATATTTAATTATTTACAGTTGAATGTTTTAGACCTTTTATTAAAAAAAAATATGCATCATCCGACAGGATAGGAATCTGCGTCGTCTAGAGGTATCCATTATTAGATTTGACGTACCTTGACCTCTCGACCACAAAGGAACTCCTGGACAAACATGCCCGGAAATTGTGCTTTTGAACTCTATATATGCAGTCGTCTTTAACAGAACGGGCATATAATGTCCAATTTTCTTTAGATATTTCATGACAGTATCGCCACATGAACTTCAAAAAGAGAAAACGGTTGCAAGTCCATTAAAGGTTGTTAAACAACTTATTCTACACGGGTGGAAACTCGTTAACTCGGACATTCCATTTCCGTACAATTCCATATGATCTTAATGACAGCTGCCGCCTCGTTAAACGAATGTGACCATTGCTGACAAGTATGATAGTGAACTTGTTTTAGTGACAAGAAAAATGACGCTTGAAGCGATGTTTACTGAAGCCGCGACAAACGTTGTTCTGGCTTGTTTCATAAAATATATTCGCTTTCTTCGTGTGTTTTCATATGACAAGTAAGATCGGATAGGTTTATACAGGTCTTTTGACTTACCCAGATGCTAAGTATTTCGCAGTAACTGATCCAACATATATATATATATATATATATATATATATATATACACATACACACACACACACACACACATATATATATATATATATATATATATATATATATATATATATATATATATATTAGTGGTAAATATACACATACATATGCAATCATATATCTAAAATATATAAATATATATGCATACATACACATACATGTATTTTGTATAAAAAATTAATCCAAGAGGATAGAATCCAGGTAGAACTCAATGTTTAGGACAGAGTAAGGATATAATAAAAAGGCTTAAACACTAATATTCCATGGTCATAATTTATTCCATTGGAATCGTAAATACGATCCAATTCATCAGACCGACAAATTCAAAAAGAAAACAGAAAAAACACCACCGGGAATAAAAAATAAAACTTAAGTAAATGCCGATTGTCTATAAAAGAACGTATAAACATAAAAAAAAATGTCTTAAATTAATTGTCGGACTTTGTCCATTTCACAATATGTGCGTCAATTGTTTACATTTGAATACGCATCGAGCAGATATGAATTTATGAGAGAAAATCCCGGAGAATTGTATTTTAAAAACAGTTAAATCGAAACACTTCTCTGTGGCTCAATCGGTAAAAGGATGTCAGCCTATATGACGATTCCGTATAGGATACAGGTTCGATTCCTGTCCGAGGACGTATATTTTCTATGAAAATGTTTCGGAAATTCAGGCCAGTAAATGTTGTTAATACTCTTTATTATAAACAGCGCATTTATTTAAATATTTGTACCTATAAAAAGAACGTGTAAACATGAAGAATGTCCTAATATATGCGTGTGTATTGCGTATGTTTTGGCAGCCTGTTTCCTTGAAACATGTTTCATTGAATAATTTAGACAAGTTTCGTCTACTTATTTTTAAAGAGATCCTTTCATATTCACGGTCAAGTTTTTTGCCATTATTAAAGAAAGGGAGAAAATTTTAATTTCAGATGAAGACAGCAAGATTTCCTTTGAAAATGATGAACACAGCCATATTTTTCTTAAAATAAACAACACCCTGATGATAACATTGTGCTATGTCAAAAGTACTGGGAATAACAATAATATATAATATGTATCAACACGGTAATTTTTCCTCTTTAATACTGGCACCACTAATCTTGTCCGTGAACATGAAAAGATTTTATATATATATATATATATATATATATATATATATATATATATATATGGAGAGTGAGATAGATAGATAGATAGATAGATAGATAGATAGATAGATAGATAGATCGATCGATCGATCTAGTCTCGAAATTATGATCCCAGTGAAAATAAATATTCTCATATTGAATCGTTTCGCGTTCATCATTTCAGCATCTTGGTGTAATTGAACTACAGCATTCTTATGTTTTTTTTTTATTTTTTGACTAGTTTGTTAACTTAATTCCATCTTCTAATTAACGCTCAACTTTGTCTGTTTAATCATTTATTCATTTGAAGCTTTTCCGTAATTCGAACGCGTCTCAGCAGCTTAAAAAGTGGGCTGAAGATATTTCTATTTTTCATAGAATTTCATAATATATCTTAGAATGGATTGTTCCTTTCTGATTTACGAAAACTGTTTTGATAAAAAAAGTGGATATTGTGCCTTTTTCTCTCCCTCTTTCTTTATCTATCTATCTATCTATCTATCTATCTATCTATCTATCTCAGTTTATTCATTATCTATCTATCTCAGTTTATTCATATATATCTATCAATTGATTCATCTGATTTTGTTCATATCTATCTCTCTAGCTAGCCACAACAGTAATGAATAAGAAGAACTTCACGAATGAATTTTGAATGCGTTTAAAATCATGTTGCAACTATTGTCCTCGATTGAAGAAAACGCGAATCATTTAATCAATGGTTTGAAATCTGTTCAATTTACGATGACACTAAAATCAAATTCCTAATGTCCCTTCCATCTGTTCATTCACTCTGAGTGCGTTTCTCCAAGATTCTTTTTTCTTTAAATTAGAATTTCGTATTATCTCAGACAACGCCATTAAGAAGATGACATTACCAGATTTTTTAAAAAGCTATTTTTCCGCAAATTCTTCTTTTCTCGACTTGTAATGATAGAAGCATTAAAGAGTTCACAACTTCAAAACCAGACCAATGTGAGAATCTGACAAACACTTTGAAATCGTCAGTAAAAGAAATACACAATAAATATATGGAATTTGCTGCATAACGTTAGAGAAACTGATTGAAAATTCACTAAAAATTACAATAAAACAAAAAACATTAACATTATGAACATTTAAAAAAAAAAAACTAATATGAAGCAATATATAATAATTGATAATAATTAATATCAACAACAACAACAACAACAATAATAATAATAATAATAATAATAATAATAATAATAATAATAATAATAAAAAATGATAATAATCGAATCCCGCAAAATAATTCATATTTCTCTCTAATAATATTTCTGGAATATTCAGGCCGGTAGATGAAAATAAATACATATATTGTTTAATAAATAAACCATGCGTCTGCATTAAATACGAATATCTACTGGGAAAATAACGGTTAACTAATAAAAATATGTAGGATTGATAAATCAAAAATGCATCCATTTCTTTTTAAACATTCTAATATATTATGAAATATACAAAGTCCGACAATTATTTAAGAAATTTTTTTTATGTTTATACGTTCTTTGTTTAGATACAAATGTTTAAGTAAAGACTCTGTGTATAATAAACAGTATTAACATCATTTACCAGTCGGTTAAGGCACGTCAGGCTATATGAAGGTTCCGTATAGGATACAGGTTCGATTCCTGTCGGAGGACGAATATTTTCTATAGAAGCTTCTCGGACATTCAGGCCGGTAAATGTTGTTAATACTGTTTATTATGTCTTTAATAATTGTCGGAGTTTGTCCATTTCATAATGTATGACTTCATTTATTTACATTTGAATACCCATTGAGCAGATTTGAATGAATGGGAAAATATCATGGAGAATTGTGGCTAAAAACAGTAAAATCGCCCTTGCTAACCGATCTCTCCTCTCTGGCCCAAATCGGTTAATCTGTCAAGGTTACATGACGGTTCCGTATAGGATACAGGTTCGATTCCTGTCGGAGGACGCATATTTTCTATGAAGATTTCTCGGACATTCAGGCCGGTAAATGTTGTTTATACTGTTTATTATAAACAGAGCATTTACTTAATTATTTGTATCTATCAAAATAACGTATAAACATAAAATAAAATGTCTTAAACATTCTAATATGTAAATGATTCAGGACGAACAACGAATGCAGTTGCCAGAAACCATACGATAATTAGAGAAACAGAAACACGTGGAAATTATTCTGAATGGTGAAGAAGAATTTTGTGGCGATAGAAATGTGTTTCCATGGAAGGATGCTGAGAATAGAATTATAGAAGAAATGGAAACAAAAATGATCGGCAACTTAATGACGAAAGAGGGTTTGAAAAATTAGACCCTCACAGGACAGACTGAAGTCACAATGGATAGAAGAAAATAACACATAACCGATCTGACAATCTTGCGTGAAGAGATGGCAGAACAAGGTTTATTAAAGATTAGACGAAGACAATATATTCTAAGAGCTACAATCCTCAATTAATACTGCATATATAGAAGAAAAATAAATACCTAGTGTTCGGTGGGTAATTTTTCGACATATTATATTTTTAATCTCGCACATGCGCCTTGTTTGTTTGTTTTTTTTTATTTTATCAACTCCGCATTATAGTAGGGTCAGCTGGGAACCGTCTTTGAGTAAAAGGGCAGCATGACGCAATTCACTCAGCTGTACTGCTTGGCATTCGCGCCGGAATCTCCAAGACGAACATTTCAGATTGTTTGGATGTAAATCTGAGGACAGTGCAGAGGATTCGGAAAGAGTTTAATTAGTCTAATAGTGATTAATTAAGTACGGCAGCTGAGAAAAAATTATTCTAATCGATCTGAAATGAAAAGAACTCACGAATTTGTTGGTGAGATCCAGGCAGTGATTGAAAATTATACCTCCAAGTCAATAAGGTTCATAGCTAGTGAGGTAATGCTGCTCTGGGCCAAGAGGGTGGGTACTAGGAATGTTACACAAGCAGGAGAACCCAGTCATCGCTGTTAGGCAATTTCTGCCACTACATCGCACCTTACATCTGGCCACCTAACTCTCCAGACTGCAACCCATTTGATTATCTTTTGTGGGATGCAATTGAGCGAGAGGTAAACAAAACTTGTGTAACACCAAAGATGCACTGAAGGCAAGGATTATGAAAACATTTATTAACTGTCCAGAAGAGTTGCGGGAGATTCCGAAGTTGCCTGGAAGCTATGGTTGAAGACAATGGCGATTTTATTGAATAAATTAACTTCTTAGTATTTTAAGATATTTTTGTGTAATTTTAGGAAATATATCTGTTAAAAAGTTTTCCATTTTCCCGTAATTTAAACGACAAATTATCCATCGCACTCTCTATATGTAAATATTGCGTCATTTTTTTTCTTATTACTTTCTTAAATTTCATATTTTTAAAAGCTCGTCAGATAGAAATACAAGTAGATATTAGATTTACATGATTATAAGTATAAACATCCCTAGATGTCAGATAGTTATGTGTCATGCGTGATACACGCGTAGGCGATCATGTATCTTTCGATACATCACTGACGATATTCAGTCACCCCCCACAAGGGTGTCATGTGGCACAAGGCCTTTTTAATGTGGGCATTCCGAGCCCGTGGGCTCGGCCATAAATATGCCCATTGAACCCGTATAAACGGGTTCAGGGCCGGTTTTACCTCCCCGAAGGAGACTCCGCCCTTCGGTGTAGCCTCCTTCGGGTTCCTCCCGTCCGTAGGAAGAGAGTTCAACCGAACAGTCGGTTCAAAAGTGAACTACTGACTGACGAGGTAGATTTTTTTTTTCCGCAGTAGATTGCCATTTCTTTCTGTGTTAGACAGTTGCCATCCTGGGGTGGGGGAGAAGAAGATGATTCACACCTTTCCCAAGGGTAATAGCACGTAAGTGAATGTAATGGATTCGACTGCAATTCGAAGTTGGGCCCTCCGATTCGCCAATCTGAGCTATCATTACACCACTGTGCCTCCCTAGATGTACGCGACTGAAATATATCTTTTCTATATTGTCTTCTATTCCAAATATGAAGATTCTTCTGTCCATAAGTTTAAGTTAGCCATATTAGTAAAACGAGCTCTACTTTCGTATCTGAAGACGATCGGGGACTTCTTCGCTGTTCAAGGAAATTTTAAGATCTCTAGCATTTATAAATACTATTATTTTGTGGCTGTCTGAGTTTTGGGGATTAGGAGTTACCATTATTTTCCTTATGTTTGCCTCCATCTTTGTTGTTCGGGACGACCCCACTCCATCCTATACTTTCATCAGTTGTGGATCCGCGCAATCCACAGGGATTTCGGGTGAATCCTTCATTTAATTTACGAGGGTAGAATGTTCTTATTCTACAGCCTGAGTCCAGGGATATCTGGTCTGGTTCTTATTTAGTAATGGTCAGTTCTTGCTCGCCCTGTTTTTACTGCTTCCGACTACACACTGCCCTGCCCAGGGATTGAACTCTCTGTGTCCCCAAATTTAAGAACCAACGTTCTAAGTCACTAAGCTAGTGTCCCGCGGGACTATTCTGCGTGGAGAAGTGTCTACATGGGAAGTGAAACGAGAACAATGTAATCGCTAGTTTGAATTAAGGGTTCAGTTCGTTATTCTCTCGCTACTACTCCGATTGTCATACATTTTAGGAAGGTCGAAGGGGTGGCACAACAGATGCAACGTTGTGATATCAACAAGAATGAGGTCACATGTAAATAATGTAAATAAAATTTACAAATTGATAGATTGATAGATTCGTTTTCGACGGCTTATCAACCCTTTATTTATAATCAGAAAATATTTTAAAAATGTACAATGTCTTTTGTAGATAATAATTTATTGGTACAAGATTTCAATAGCAGGAAACGCTGTTTTATTTGGATATCACATGATGCTAGACTCTGCTAAGTATTTAAGTACCTGTTTACTTTATTGAATAAAAATGGAATGCGTTCCTCGCTTATGCTAAGGCTTTAATTTTTGCTTTAGCGGCATACTTTTTGCTTATAAATTTAAAGTGTTTATCAAAATACACGCATATAGATACGTTCACACACACACATTCGTACACACATACACGTACGCTCGTGCTCACACACACCTATAATAGTGAAACACAATTTGTTTCACTATGTGTGGGAGAGATTTTTTTTTATTTGAATTCTTAACTACAGATCACGAAATGCCTGTAGAAAAACAGAGAGATCAGATTAGACCAGAATGTGTATATAACTATCATTATTAACAATCTTATCTTTCCAGCTTTGACAGAGTTCAAAATCTTTTACAGAGACTCATGGCGAATGATTTATTCTTAAATGTGCAACCTCAAACCCGCAGTCACAATGTCTCAACTCTAACGCTATTTCCATGGCAAATGTCTAAATAAACCCCATTCGTTAATTCCACCAGCTCAAACCTTTACACACAGGACACGTCACCCTACATTCACGGAGTCAAATAACCGTCATTTTCTTCGTGTTCCTAGTGTAATGAGAAAGATGCACTTGGAATTTTGATAAATTAGCGAGGGTCACAAAGCATATATATATATATATATATATATA